TAATTTCAAAACAGTTTCGATAAAATGGCGACGCACAGTAATGGGATCGTATTCGTGGCGTCCGTGTGGGTTTTGACATCCATCTCGCGTACACCCACAAGGGAAACTATCTCGATCGACTTGACAATTTATTCCATTTAAATAACAGCTACAGGTCTCTGGTTGGCACTGTTCTTTACAGGAGCATCCGCAAATCTGTCGTGAGTATCTGATTTGCATACACTCAATAGCCTCTTGTTTATTGATTTTCTTTACGCCGGCCGCCTTCAAAATGTCCTTGCGATCTTTCTGCGGAATTGGCATGAAACACTGTTCGTCGTCGCTGTCCACGCTGTCGTATGAACCGTCAGACTCGCTGCCACTCAGATCGTCGTCCGAAATAAGCGCCCTTTCGACAAAAGCGTGTTTATGTTTCATTCCAAGCGTCGTCCCTCCGTTCGAAGGCACACAGATATAGCCTTGGGTGCGGGGAAAATGGAATACAGTTCGCTCGCTGAAACGAACTCTTCGATTTCGCTTTGCTCGCTGATAATCCTCTACATTTCCTAAACTATCGGCGCTGTCAGAACTACCAGTACTTAGAGAATCTTCTTCATCGAGTTTTCTCTTCGACATCTTTTTCTCCTTTTTCTCCCACTCGACGCTTTTTGGCCTGATCTGTCCACCCCGAGAAAAATTACCAAAACGATCGAATATTCGCAGTGAATCCTGTTTTACATTCGAAATGACAGCTTACGAACAGGTGCAACTTCATGAGTAGCGCGGGAATTTTCATTGGACGATGGATGTATTGTATTTAGCTGTGCCGTCAATGAATAGTAAGAAAGCTAGTTTCTTCTTATTTATTATTCATTGCTGATTGGATAAGCCAGCGAAGAACGCTCACCTATTGGCTGAAATATGAAAACAGTCTTTTTTAGCGAGGGCATCGCTTGCCACGTCTGATAGTTTCATGCACGTGGCACGTAAAGGGTAAACACGGTAAAAGTCGCAGATATTTAGAGCGATTCCCTTCAACTTGTTCTTTTATTTTTTCTGAACACATGGTTTTGAAAGGGGTAAAATTCAAATCAGTGCAGTCTCCGTCAAAGCCCAGGAAACAGCTCGCAGCGGAAAATAGTCCTTATATTTTTGCCGGGGCAACGGTGACTGATTTTGCATTGTCTTAAAAGCACCTGCAAATGGCGAGAGCTAAATTACAATGCGGTCGTGGAACAATGGATGATGACATTATCAGAATTGTTACAAGCACGGTAACGAATCTAAGATCCCGGAAGAAAGTCAGAGTTGATTAGCCATTTTTACGTCCAGACTTGATAACTTTGAATGACAAATTTTTCTTTTAGAAGCAACAACAACAGCAAAAAAACTGAATAAACTAACTGCTTATTTCTTCTCGTTACCCTCACCCTTGGCCAGTAGCCGATTATAATTAGTAATCGGCTCCTGCGTTACCAGATCTACCACGACCAGGCGTGGGCTGTGAGTCGCGTCTCGACAACTGCGAATACGACACTGGAAAAGTGAAGTCGCGTTGTTTCAAACTTTATCGCGTTCATTCCACTTCGTTCAATAGACCATTTTACAGTTTGTCGGCTCAGTATCCTAGCCCTTGAGTGAACGTGAGGCTAAAGTTGATCTTGTTTTGACACAAACCTCCTTCTTTTTCTTATGGAGATTATTTTTTAAAAATATTATTCAGCATAACATTATTTACATAAGAGAGCAACAAGGGTTGTATCAAAACAAGCTCAACTCTAGCCCCGTTTCCACCTGTACTGTAAAATGGGCTACCGTAAAATTCCGAAAAGCCCTGGGACTTATATTTTTCAAAGGCCATTTTTGAGGGGCATTTATTCGGAGGGAAATTTGCGTTTCAAAGTCGATTGGGCTAGCCTGTAGCCTTACAGTTGGGAGTAAATTAACCGTTTTTGCTTTGTTTTACTTAATATTTGATGGCAAATTTCCAAGTACAAATCCCAGGGGGGCTTATATTTGGAGGAGCGATTTAACGGAGGGTTTTTTGCGTTACTGGATTGGGGGACTTATATTTGGAGGGGCTTATACATGGAGGGGCTTAGTTACGGAATTTTACGGTTTTCGTCAAATGTTGGCAATTAGCGACTTTAAGCATCGACAACGAAGCGGACGACGACGACGCTTCGAACCGAGGGAAATTTCACTTCCGGTCGGCGGCGTCGTCCCATTTCGTCGACGATGCTTAAGGTCACTATTTTTTCTGGTGTTAAATGCTAAAAGCCTTATCGAAGTTCAGGAAAACAAGAGACGCCGTTCAGTTTCACTTTCAAAATTATTGAAACTTTGATATTAAATGGAAACACGGAAATCCGAGCCCGATAAGTTACCGGGACTTTCGAGACCATAGGAGTTAAGTCAAGGAGATTGTCAAAAAAGGCAAGGTGACTCAATGTTTTGTTTGTTTGTTTTTACAAAGCAAGAGAGGATGACTATTTCTAAAACGTCATGAATTTGTCTAAATAAAGATGCCAAAATGAAAAGCGGGGTACTCTGCACATGAATGGTGAAGCTACGCAATTGGTGGGAAGTGATGATACGAATTAAAAAATAACGAAAGAAGTGCAGTGAAAGATAACAACTGGACAGACATCAGATTATCTCTCTGTCCTACCGGTCCGTAGGAGAGAACCCTTTTACCATTACGGCTCTTGGAGAGGATAGTATCCTCTCTTGTTTTACCCCAGCTTAAGGAGGCATTATGGTTGTTTTGGGGGGAAATGATGTTGATTTGAGGGAGAAATAAATTGGGGTAGAGTAAACCAGTTAGTCTGCTAATGAGCTCATAGCCACCTTTTCAGTCTACTGATTACTCTCTTCATGGATTTCAATTTTCCAAGATTTTTAACACTCCGCCCCCTAGCCTCCCACGCAGACGTTCTTAGCGGTTCGTCACGGGGCAGGAACGCGTGACGAGCCCCTAAGAACGTCTGTGTAGGAGGCTACCGCCCCCCTAACTTTAATACATCAGAAACAAGAAATCGATATATCATCCAAAAAGTAGCAAAAAATCAATGAAACGAAAACTCCAACTAATCGAGGCATTTTTTTGACCGTAAGTCTTCGCCAGATATTTGTGAAAAATCAGATGGGCTCCTGACGAAAATTAGCCTCCCCGCAAACGTCCTTTGGGGTTCGTTTGTCACGCATTCATTTCTCCCCCACGGACGAGGCTAGACGAAAATCAAATCAAGGCTTTTTTCAAGGAGTAAATAAGACTAAACATAGAGCAACAATCAATAATAACGGTGAAACGTGACGACGCAAGTAGCGCCTGCAAATTTTATTAAAACCACAATTCACATACAGGAGAACGTTGTAGATTATCTTGATATCAACAGTAAGTGTTCGAAGGAAAACAGGCAATGTTTTTATATGCGCGTAAACTAAAAATTGTCTTTTCTTGTCAATATTAGCACTGTTCTCACTGTTAAAGAGAACATTAACAACAACGAAGCTGGAACCACTGTCACTTGCTACTTGTATATTTGGTAACGGCTTTCGTTCCCTCGCTTACCGCGTGCTTTGCAAGCTCACCTGGCAGAAGCAGTCGAACAGCTGTTTGTATTTCCCGCGAAGAAATCGTCGACTTTTTGTTGTAGTGCGCCAGACGAGATGCTTCTTGTGCTATTCTCTCGAAAATGTCATTCACAAAAGAGTTCATAATACTCATTGCTTTGGATGAAATCCCCGTGTCTGGGTGAACTTGTTTAAGGACTTTATAAATGTATGTGCCATAGCTTTCTTTTCGTTTCTTCGAATGCTTCTTCTTCTCGCCAGGTAACGCTGTGCTCTTCTCAGCATTCTTTTCCCCCTTTTTACCACGAGCTTTTGGAGGCATCGTATGCTAAACGAACCTCCGTAGGTCACTACCGAAAGTTAATTGGGATTCCTTACTTGCATTACAAGACTCCTACGCTTGCTGAAGAATTTATCGTTCACAGAACGGTGTGTGCCAGTAGTATTTATATACTCTGGTGGCCAAAGATCCAAATACACAGGGATGAAAATTCTTGCGATGTGATTGGTTTACATTGCATACGGCCCTCTGAGGAAACAGAAAATGTTTTGTAAGTTTTATTTCCTGTAGCTTTGGCGATTCTGATTGGATAAAAGTCGTAGCATTCGATCCTTGCTGTGTAAATATTGCTAAAATATTTATTTCGGTAAGGCAAATCACTTCCGCTACGTGCAGTCGTTGAGTCGTTCGTCAGAGTCTTTCTGTTTTGTATAAAAGAAAAATAAGGGCCATCTGTAATTAAAACATGTCTGGACGCGGTAAAGGCAAAGCGAAGGGCACCAAATCGAAGTCGCGTTCTTCAAGAGCGGGCTTGCAGTTCCCAGTTGGCAGAATTCATCGTTTGCTTCGTAAAGGAAATTACGCCGAGCGAGTCGGTGCTGGCGCTCCTGTGTACATGGCGGCGGTGTTAGAATACCTCTCGGCAGAAATTCTGGAATTGGCCGGTAACGCTGCCAGGGATAACAAGAAATCGAGAATCATTCCTCGTCATCTTCAACTGGCCGTACGAAACGACGAGGAGTTGAACAAATTGTTGGCTGGCGTGACCATCGCGCAGGGTGGCGTATTACCGAACATTCAAGCCGTTCTGTTGCCCAAAAAGTCTGACAAAGGACAGAAATGAAAGGACAAAGACCGCGTCTTTTTAATACCTGACAATTTTGGCCGAGAGAGAGAAAATTCAGACACTAAACTTCTACAAAAGACTGCATAATAAGCTTAAATGATATATGTCCTGTTTTTCAAATGAAGCAGAAAAGTTGAGTAATTCGGTGAGTAGGTTAATTTACAAGGATACCTGTAAACGGCTATTGTATTTTTGCTTTGGTTTAAGTCTTGTCTAAGCTCATTTGACTTTGCCGTTCATTATCATGTATTAAATGTGATGCTGACATGTAAATAATTTTTTAAAACTGATTATATTGCTGAATAATTTGAAAGCTTATTATGTAAGCTTAATTTTAATATTGAAGTTCAGGAAATACAAACTTATGTTGTAATGGTATTTTCCCTTTTTTTGGATTCTCATTAAAGAATGTATTTCATTTTCATTGTTTTTACCTTGAGAGAGAAAACTTATGCATTTTGAAACATAGGCAGATGTACCCACAGGTTTTTCCACAGGCAGCCCAAGCTCAGTATGAGAGTAAAATTTTTGGTGTGGTCTCACATGGCGTAATCCCCAAAATGGCCGTAAACATAAAGGACTTGTAGGGGAATTCAAGTAAAAACGTGATTTTGTGTCCAGGGAGTGATTATGATTCCAGGGTTGATTGATGTGCCCCAACCCCCCACTGGACATTAGGGAGCTTAAGCAAAGATGGTTTTGAGCAATTCATGTCAACCGAAAGTAAAGCCATCTCCCTGTTTATGTGAGTTGGAGCTAACAATAATTTGTATTTCTAAGTTTCTTTTCTCTCATAAAGACGATTTACCCGACTTCTGGTTGACGTCCGTCACTCAAAAACTCTGTTGCTTAAGCTCCCTAAGCAAGGGAGCAAGGGTGGTGCAGTGGTGAGAGCACTCGTCTCCCATCAATGTCGCCTGGGTTCAAATCCCTATGGGGGTTGAGTTTGTTGTTGGTTCTCTCCTAGTTTTCCAAGGGGTTTTTCTCGGGGTGCGTCAGTTCTAAATTCCAATTTGATCTGGAATGTACAGACACATTTAAACAAGTCTTTAATAAAGAAGGCACAATAGGTAGGGCCTGAATGAAGCATGCTTGTCCACAACAGGTTTACCTCCTGTGGTACCACTGTCACAAGAAGCAACATACCCTTACCCAGCACTTCCTGGAGGGCCAATAAGCGATGGCCTCGTGATAGTATTTGTCTTCTTACAGATTGTTTAAAAAGAGCATCATTCGTGTTAACATAGCTGGCTGGATCTTGGAGAAAAAGGCACAAAACTGTTTTTAAGCCCCAGTTACATTCCTAGACAAGAAAAAGTTATCAAAAACAAGGATAACCCAGGTTTTACACCTGAAAGTTTCAGACCAGTTGTAACCCTGGGGCTAAATTTTAATCCTGGTCCCTGTTTCTTTAGTTCAAAAGCATTTTCTTTGTTACTGCACGTTGATCTTAGAAAACATTATCTTTGGCCTGATTCCAAATGGACCATTGCCAGATTTTAGAATGATTAAAAAAAATGGCTTTCCCTAATAGCCTGCGAATACAGCCATTTCTCCTCGCACCTTGCACTAGTGGTGTTTCAGGGAGAGAGACATCTGCGATTCAGCGCCAGAAATTCAATACTAATGACCTAATTCGCCCAAAATCTGGTCAATGAGTGCTGATTGGTTGATGTGGTAATATATATCATTTATTATTTTTGAATGGGAGACGAAAAACAAAGGTCACAAAGATCAAAATGTCAATGTCAACTTCACATCCCAACTTCCTTTTATTTACTGAAAACTCTGCAATAAATTTTATGCCACTCCTAACACCATTGATTAATTAGTACAAATGAAATAAGCCTTGATGAGTTATTTCCAAAAAATACAGATGAGTATCAAAATCAAAAAGTACTTTAAAATTCCACAAAATGTCTATGAATGGATTATGTGAGGATATTAAACTAGTTTCATACTTGTTTTGATCCTGAACTCAATTTAGTGATGGGGTGACTGACCATCAAATCTTTTACCCATGTCAAAACATAATATTCATCTGTACACACAATGAACTCCAAATAATATTATTATTCATCATGGAATACACTTTCCTCAGCAATCCAATATGTAACCACTATGATCTCATAATTAACTTAGAGTTTTAATTATTAATAAAAACAGCTCCTGGGAAGCATTCAGTAGCCTTGGACAGGCTTAATCTTTGCCCAATTCACAACAAAGCAACCTGGGGCATTAAATTAAATCAGAAACATAATAATATTATGCATAGGAATTTGGTTGCGATGTCAAAATATCTTAGAAAAAAATTAATGTACAATAATAATTATTATTAAGTTTGATAGTCAACACAAAATAACTCAAGACTTGAGAGATGATGATATTTGTATAATATGTATTTCTAGTTATTTTCACTTTGTAATGGCACTTCCTCACTTGTTAAATCCGAAGGATCCTAAAAATGAAAGGAGACAAAAACAAATCACTTTTAGCAAACAGCCCACATACTTCCTCCAATAATCTTAAAGTATTTTCGTTTTTAGATTTCACATGTATATATCATCCCTGAAGATTTAGAAGGAATAATTAGAAGAAGCCTTATAGCCTATCCACTCAATTACTTAAAATTTAGAAATACATGATTTAATGGTTAACTTTTTACTCATAGACTTCTTTACATATTTTACAACTAACATTATCCTACTGTCTAATTAATATCCATTGTGATTAGTGATGACACCAACATTATCTCTGTTATTATTTTATGTAACCATTATTATGCCCGCCCACTGTTATAATCAATTCCCTTTTTTGACAAATAATTCAATTGTTGTTCTTGTAAAACCTAAACATGCTATATGAGATTGAATAAATAAAATAAAATAAAATAAAGAGATACACTTGAAACTCTCAGTATGGACACCTTTCTAATACGGACACCTCCCTACTAGCAACGGTTTTCAACATCCCGACAAACTTTTCATAAATTTTCTTTAAGAAAAACCCTCTATAATACAGACTCTCTCTAAATCTTGCCCCCAGAGAGTAAATTGATATAAACTTAAACTCTTTATTATCGACACGGCAGTGGTCAGGTGAAACCCGAATCCCAATCAGGTGAACCTGTGCAGGGTGAATCCTGTCTAGTCTGGCTGATGAGCTATGCAAGGTGATATAAAGCCCAGTCGCTGTATACCAAACAATGATTCAGTGTCAAAGGCACAGAGGAACATAACCGACTTTTTGAAGGCTTTAATAACTACAGATAGCATAAAGATCTTTTCTATTACATGTTGTACTCTAGTTACTGTTTACTTAGAAAACAGCAAAAGACACTTTAAGAATAATATTATTGTGCTTTACATTACAACTTTTTACATGCAGCATTGCGCTGTAGCTCAATTCCTTTTAAAACAGTATCAGTCTGTAATTATTTATCTGTAGCTCAGATGTACAATGTTGTATGCTACTGAAAGACAGTGTCTTTGTACTGTGAATTAATAACTTTAAATGCAGTTTAAAGATGAGTGTGAGCCTGGTGTTAGCTACTTAACACTTAAAAGTCTAAGTGGAGTCATAAAAGTGACATCATTGGACACTTCGCTCTGTCTCTTCAGTGTCCATATTAGAGAGGTTCGATTGTAAATAATGAACTTGAATAAAAGGGCTTTTTGGTGGTGTCACAGAATAAATCTGGCTAGATGTAGACTCCAATCTGATTGTCTAATAGTAGCTAGCCCTGATTTCAGTATTAATAAAATAGCAAATGCCATTGATCATATAATTTCCTTTTTTTTCTTGTTAAGGATCATTATAGTTTGTACGGCAACGTATTATGGAAATAGACGACAAAAAAGAAAACCATCCCTGTTTTGCTTGCTTCTTGTCTCAATCAAGATGGCAGACAGGATGTTGGACAAACGCATGCTTACAAATATTTTTCACTTGTCATTTCTCCAGTCTTGTACGTGCACAGGAGATCTAGTCTAGTCTCTCAAATAATCTAAAATTGTATCATACTGGACATTGTATCGCAATCTGTATCGCTTTGTGGAAAGATGTATCATCACAGCACTAGTCCTATTACCATTATTAATAGCCATTATTAACAGATAAATATTTTCATAATACCTCGGATGGCTGTGAAGTTTCCTCACTATATTCTTCAGTCGGTGCAGATTCCCTTTCATTCTCCTCTTCCACAAGATCATTTCTAGAGTTTGTTGCAGCATCCTCAAATTCATCATCCAATCTTCTTTCATTCTCTTCAAACTCATGGACAGCATTTACATCATCGCTGGCCTCCACAGAACTCTCATCCAAAGACATATGATCACTGCCTTCCAGCAGTTCTATCCTATCCCCAATCTCAGTCCTATTCTCTAAGTTATCACTATATTTTTCATCTAAATGCTCCTCGCTGTATCCATCCTGGGTTGTTTGATTTTCAAGTTCTATTTCCTCCTGGGGAGTAGAGCTTGTATCCTGTAAGTTATACTCTGCCTCTGCAGCAGCATGAACAGATGTGTCCTCATATACTACATCTAAAGCATCTTCGTCAACACCAGCAAAGAACCTAACATCCCTATCTGGATCATGTTGAAGCCTCTGTAAGGCTGAATGGACTGCATCTCTCCCCTCACTATCTGTTTCTTTAAAGTAATCTACAAAAATGAGAAATTGGTTACACGGTGCTGTCAATAAAGGCCGTAGCCTGAGAAAACAGCCGACATTTGGCGACGCTACCACTGGTTTCCCTGCCAAATGATGTTTGAGAAACGAGTGCAGAAATTCCACACTGATGATGCGTCACTACCCAGATCTGGGTAGTGCTTCTGATTGGTTGAATCAAATTTCCCACGCAGCACGACCGATCAGAAACACTACCCAGATCTGGGTAGTGACGCATCATCAGTATGGAATTTCTGCACTCACTTCTCAGACGTCATTTGGTGAGGAAACCAGTGGTAGCATTGCCAAATGTCGGCTGTTTTCTCTGGCTATAAGGGCTAAGGGCCCGGGATTTCCCTCAGCTACCTTCACAGGAAACAAAAGGAAATAGAACCAGATCAGCTCTGTGTTGCTCAATTTCCTGCCCAGTAATTGCATATGTCTGCATCTTGAAATCTTTTCCTTGACAGCCCTGGTTAGTTAACCCTTTCACTCCTTACAGTGGGCAAATGGATAAATAATTCCCACAAAAGTCAAATTCCTTACCATAAAATCTTGAGAAATAAATAGTACCATGTTTAAGTTCTACAAAAGAGGTTTCATTTGAATGGTGACACTAAAGAATTCTGCCCACAGATTTAACAGTTGATGTGAGAAATACTCTTGTCATTACTTGGTCTCAGAGTGAAAAGAGTTAGTGTATTAGAATTATGTTTGTGTTATCAGGTGCCATCCCACAAAAATTTTGACATCTAAGTTAGTCATTGAGACCCCCTAAATCATGAGAGTGTTTGCATTGAGTTTATTTCATAAAGCTCACGAGGTAATGTGAAATTCTAAAAAAAAGCCTGGGACTTGGATATAGAGTCTCCAAGCAAATAATTTTTTTTGTCCTCGCATATTTTATTATTTTCTTTTAGCTTTGACTGCACCAGGATCTGTTTGTCCATTGACAAACAGTGAGATGTTATTGTCTTTGTTCAGTCCATTAAATTATCTCCAGCTGCATGGGCTTACAGGGTTCCTTTATAAGCCTTTTTCCCGTCAATCCATTGAAGGAAAGCACCCTAAAATAAGACTAGTACTCTTCTTAGTCACGTAACTCCCTCCTCCTGTTGTCATTAGGCAGGAAGACAGTATAGCTAAGAACCTATCATCATCATGATAGACAGTACCTGTCATAAGGACACACTGGGACAGGGTCCGGGCCAGACTGAGGCGCACATTTGGAACAGGATCAGACAGGAGGAAAAGCAGACTTGGTAAGAACTCCTGGCAAAACTGCTCTCCTGTTTCAACATTCTCTTCTAAAAGGTTCTGACAGAGCTGTGCATACCTAAAAGGTGTTATGCATTAATTTATTTCATGAGAGAAAATGGTTTATCAAAATGTGTGTCAATTTTTTACTTTTGTCTGTTACACGTCAAAATTTTATTCAGGTTAAACATTTTTAACCTACAGTCACAGACAAAAATAGATCGGACACTTCTACCCTATGCTTATTTTTTTGCTTCTACCCTGTTTCCCCATCCTACCAATGTTGTTTATAGCAGTTAACTCACCAAATCTTGCACACCAATATTGGGAGGGCAAGAAGACAGCAATGTGTCCCAACAATTTCAACTGAGACTGTAGATTGATTCCCTTTTTCCTTCATCTCTTAGCCCTAATTATTCATGAATTAAGGTTAAGAGACAAAGGAAACAACTTATCGGCCTATGTTAAAAATATTTAACCTGAATATAATTTTGACCTGTTACATCTGCACAGAATGTTATCAAAGAATTCAAACTTCACTAGGTCAAGAACATATTATCTGAAACAATGTTGTAGAATGTCTTATGTAAGTTTAAGTCATATACTTACGCTTGTCGCCTGGTCCATTGTGGACTATGAGCAAATTTATTGATTATATCACAGACATATTTGTGTACAGGTCCCTCCTCAGGACACTCATGGAGTCGTTGTAACAACACACCAATCTACAACATGGTAAACGAAAACCCATAATCAACAAAAATGGAAAAAATAATATTCATCTGATTGTTTAAATTATTGTCTCAATGCCATTAGCTTTCCCTCAAAGAATGACAAAAAATATATACATATATATTTTTTCCCTAGTTGTGCAATTGAATCTGAAGAAAGCTGTAATAATGTAATAACAATCGTCCTGGTGTTGGACATAGATAAATTTTCTATCGCACATTGCCTGATGACCGACTGTTATTGTAGCTCTGATAAAAGAGTGATTATTCGTACTCACCAGCTTAAATGCAATTATTCTGACATCAGCGACTCTATCTGTTGCAAGTGAAATAGCAATAGGGCAGATGTAATGCAGCACTTGTTTTGGTGTATACAACTCGGACAGCAACATAAGCTGCCTGAAACCAAAGATAGAAATAGGTTAACATAAAGACACTTTTATGTCCACAGAAAAGGTTTATTGCTACATGTACTTACTGTTAAAATCTGACTTTTAAGGAAGTGCAATGGGGTGGATAGGGCAGAGGACTTTAAAAAAATAGAAGTCCTGTACTTTAGCAACTGAGGAGGCCACATGGTCAAGTGGTTAGGTTGCTGGACGAGTTCAATTCCTGCTCTGAAAGCTGTTCACGGTAGTCGCGAGTTCAAATCCTTGGCCATGCTTGTAAACAGCCAGCTCATTTGCCCCCAGCCAGTTAAGCCAGTTGGGATTCTTAACCCTATTATGTTTGAATTAGATTATTTGTTTTATGCATTTGCTCAGCCACAATGGCATTAGTGCTATAAACACTGACGAAAGCAAATAACCAAATTATTATTACTGGTGGCGTAAACTCAGAATGAGATCTACACTAAACACTTACTCTGCCAGCTCAAATCGAAATCTCCAGTTCCTGTTATTGTCTGTTGTAAGGAAATCCGTTAACATGGGGAGGTAATCAGTCCTTATGTCTGGTGGAAGAAGCTGCAAATGTATTTAAGAGAATAACAATTTGAGAAAAGGATACTCAGAAGAAATCCTTTAAATGCAATTCCAGTTTGAAGTCTGTCATTGTGCATAATATTATGGCATGCTGTGTTTGCATTAGGTTTTGTACAAAAAAGCATCCTGAACCCTCAGCTTCAAAATCTCAGGGGTCCTGTACATATCAAACTATCAAACTCTAAAGGCATGACCACTACTAACTAAAGAAAATACTTCAGCAGTAACCACACTTAATGTAAATCTCACCTTAATGAAGTCTGCCAGATGTTTCAAAACTCCTATTCGCACCTAAAAGAAGGGAATTTATTGTTAGGGTTGTTACTCTTACAACTTAAGAATAATAGTTACTTCATAAAGATTAAAACTTCCTTTTGTCAACCACAGATGTAGCAAATGAAAAGCTGGCCTATTTATTAGTCAATCCGGCTTTAAACTCAATTGCACCTTGCTTCCCAGTGCACTTTGAGCCAGTGGAGAGCTGTTTTTCAGCCAGTAACATAAGGCACATTTGTAGAAAATCACCTTTTCAAGGAGGTCAAGCTGTATTCTGGTGTCAAAAACCCAACCCAAAACCCTGTTTAGAGCGGTTTTCGTTTGAGTGTCGTAAAACCAAAACCAAAGTAATTACTCTGGCCAATCACATAGGACACAGACAATACATTGAACCAATCAAAACTCGAAGTAATTACATGTGGCTGACGCAAAGCGAGTCACAATTGGCTTTGGTTTTACTTCTGATTGGATGAAAAGGTGGCGCGAATCTTTTAAGCCAATCGCATCGTGTAGAAAGTGCAAAACCAATTACTTTTCGACACTCAAATGAAAACCGCTCTATAAGTCAAGAACTTTGCAGCCTTCTGTTCCAGACACAAAACACCAGCTCCCAAAATTTGGGCATGCACAGAAGCAAAATTTCTAGATAGTTTTTTTGGTTTAAAAGTGACGCAACAGTCTTGACTTTTTCTGTTCTCTTCCCCCCTCTGCTTTATGCTTCTCTTGCCCTGTTTTTTTTCCTTGGTTACGCATTTACTAGGCTTCATTACGGTAGGAAAAATCTGGGGACAAGCTTATAGGATCTAAGGATTAGATGGAACCCAGGAAGTGCAAGTGGGTATAGGAACAACATTTTCTTGGGATTTTCTGGGTCAACATCACATGTTTTTTTTTTTTGCCTTTTTCTCCAGCCTCTTTGACTGAATCATGCTAATTATAGTGTGGTTTGAAGGATTTTTTCCCCCTCCACAAGTTAGATGACAGAGTTATCTCTGACCATTGAAACTGATGACCTCAAAAGTGGTAGAGGGGAAGTGGATCCGGGCACAGGTGGTGCAAGGTGAATGGGTCAATACACTGCTCAACAAACAGCTGGAACATCAAATAAAGGAAATGCTGAACAAGACTGATCTGAGATGCATGCTTTCTTACCTCATCAAGGTCTTTAAGGAAGCTATTAAATGTTGGTACCAATTCAATTCTTGTAATCTCACTTCCAAGAACTAATGCTAGCTCATGGATAGAGAAGGCTAATGTTCTTCTAACCTTCCACTACAAAACAAAAATAAAATCAATCAAAATTTTTTTGTTATAGAATAATTCTCCTACACAATTTTCTCAGCAATTGCTGGTTTGCATCTGATATCATGGCAGCCATGCTGATTGACAGGAACAAAACTTTTTCAGATCCTGGGAACTTTTTTCTGTTTTCATGTAAAGAAATCAATTTGAATTGTTTTGACCCCCAACATAGCCACTGTGACTCAAGGTTGTGGAGGCAATATGGCTGCGTGGTTAGAGTGTTGGATTCGCACCCCGTAGGCAGTGAGTTCAATACCTGCCTAGCTGGCAGCTGGAGGTGTTCCCGGAACTCCTGAGTTCACCTTCTTGGCCACAATTTTTAATAGCTCACTGGTTTGCCTCCAGCCAGTTGGTAATCTTTACCTTGTTGAGTTAATTTCAAATAATTGTCTCTTTCTTTATGTGTGGGCTGCAATGAAAGCTATTGGGCTGGCGTAATGTGTTACCCACCCACCCCCACCCCCCCATAAAAAGTATTTTTTTTTATAGTGGCAAACCAAGAATGTAGCTTGGATAAATCAATGAAGCCATTTAAATAAAATTACAGTCGGTTCGCATTGTTATTAATTATTCCATACCTGCATATCAGAAGTTAAAAGTTCATAAGTGTCTCTCAAACAAGGCCAGTTTTTGCGGCCTAATGTGAGTGCTACAGCTGGAAGACTGAAGGCACAGTGACGCACTATTTCAGTATCAATAGTTTGTGCTTTTGCAGGTTCCGTCATGGATACATAGTGATCCAGAAGGGTTTGAGGAATAACATGCTGAAAAAATTAGCAAAGAATATAAAAAAATTCATTAATATTGAAGTGCAGAATTGAGATGAACAGAAGGAAGATTGTCGCAGTTTCGTACACCACATAAGTAGTTGTTGTTTTTACAACCCGAGAAAAATTTATAGCAGTGCATTGATATTGCAGGGTCATCTGTTCTAATCCGGTTCAATCCAGAAATTCTTTCAGCTGGTAAAAATAACAACTACTTGTGTATGTTTCAGGTGAAAATTAAATTCAGGTTGAAATTTTTCAACAAAGGTTGATTCTCTACTTCCTTCTTCTTCTAGCCCTGATTATTCATGACTTAAGGCCAGGACAGAAAGGATATTGAGAATCGACCAAGGTTAAAACATGTAACCTGAATTTGATTTTGACCTGTAAAATGTAGTAACAGCTCTAACCAACTAGAAGCTAGTAAAGTTGTGGATTTGTAACACACCCAGGAAGGTTGACTGCATGAAAGAGTGTATGAAATTTTTACTACAGAATAAGGATCTAACAAGACAAAGATCCTCTTTTTCAGGTTTTACAAATCACCACTAGCAGAGGCAATTTCACTGTTTACAGTAAATCCTCTATTAAGATAAGCCTCCTCCCCCTTTTCAGGAGAAAAAAGTTATCAAGCTCCTCTCCCCTACCCACTTATTTTTCACAACCAAATAATTAATAGATTGTATAGACTGTATTATTTAATCATGACTGTAACACTTTATGGGGACTGATCCAGTATGGTTTATTCACATGCTGGAGGTTTGGATTATTTGTTTTTGATCTTCAGCTGCATGACCTGTGAACTTTTCTACAGTACAGCTCAGAGATAAGCATCCATATTAACACACTTCAGATGCATTTGGGAGAAATCTTTTAACACATTGGTCAATCTAATGCACTGCAGAACTGATTAGTATATATGAGCTAGCACATTGTTGCTGGTGCAATGCTTGCATAACAGCTTTAGCAGCTTGTAGTTCTTTAAGGGGAATTAATGCCATCTTCTGATTGCCCGAAAAAGCATTATAGTGCTCCGTTTTGCTGAATTAAATATCCCCTCTTTATATTAAGCCCCCCACATGATTGAAACAAATGGGGGGGGGGGGGGGGGGGTTTATTATTAGGTTTTTGTTTTTTTAGAGGGAATTAAGCTCTTTTTTTTGACTCCCAGAAAAATTTACAGCTTCCTTTTTTTTATAAAAAAAAAATTCCCTTCTTATCGCGACCCCCCCAAACAGGAGAAAGAAAGGGGGGGGGGGGGGGGGGGTTATTGTGGTTTTACAGTAATACATACATGTAGGAGAATTCATAAAACGCAGTGTGGACAATTATGCAAGCTACTATTAAGAAAACCTATTTACCTGGACAGGAGGGGCTGTAATGTGGTCGGCAATGAGAAGATCCTCTTCAAATGAAGAAGTGTGTCCCAAACTTAGCTTTCTGTAGTCATCGTAATCAAAACGACCAATACCGTGGTCTACATGGTGCCCACGAAAATCATCAGTCAAAGAATAAAGAGCAATATTATCCTCCTCATCACTGTCATCATCTCCATGCATAAACGACAACTTTGGGCGATAATGGTGAGGCTGCAGTGTACGATGATAAATAATATTGCTATGGTGATGAACCACTGAAGGTCCGCTTGTTTCACTTCCACCTATTTCACTTGGACCAGCTGGTAAATTATCCAGTTTTTTAACTTCTGTGTTAACATTTGTGATACCTACAAAACCTTCAGGTTCTAAGTCGACCTGAGGTAAAGGTGTCCTCCAATAGAGAAAAGAATCAAAGTATTTATCATCGACCTCATCAAGATCTGTAGTCATGTTTTGCTTGAAAGTTCTTGACTCTTTTGAGCTTGTTTGAACAGAAACTGTATGAATGTCTTTGCTTTCTTGTGACTGTTTTTGAATGTCTGACTCACTTGACATGATTTCTGGAGGCGAGATATAGCCAGAGTCTGTGGTGCGAGCTTCAGGCGATGGCTGCCTCTCAGTTTGATGTCTGTTTTCTTCACTGGATTCCTCTGAGGATTTCACACTACAAGATTTCATAAAAAAATAATTTAATCCAAAAGATTACTTCATGATAATGTAAATTCAGTCAGACTTGTCACTCATTCGTATGATCAAAAGCAAATTCCAAGAAAATTCCATCATCTCTAAGCAATTTCTCTGACGTAAAGGTGCTTAGCCAGTCATTCTTACGGCTTCGTCAAGTGTTCCTTCCATTGTATGGAAGATATGCGCAACAGAGGCGAAAGAACGTCCACATGGGAGGCTAACAGGGGCTGTAGTGTGGTGATTTAATGTTTTCGTCTGACTATTCGCGTGACATCACAATCCTCTATCTCTTTTTTATTTATTACGAAAATGTCTTTTTACAATCTTCACAAAGCCCTGTGATGCCCCAAATATAAAATTCTCTCACTAAACACTGAATGTGCCCAGAAACAAAATTATTTTTCCCAGGCTGTTATTTTCCTGATCATGGAAGTCACCATCAGTGAAATAAACATGATATAAAAATAGCTAACTTCATCAACCATCTCTCACATGGTTACCATGCAGCAGTAAAACTGGAACCCTTTTTCATACTAAAGAGTTAAAAAGGCAAAGCGTCTTTCCAATGCATTATTTTATCATTAGATCCCAGCACCTCCGTAAAAATATGGATTTATCAACATGGTCATTTACATGTAACATAACCCTTTTGGAGCTGAAAGTTTTTCATTTCATTTTTAACGGTTCATTCAGATTTACAATGCCCACAAATAGCAAAGGCTTGTCTAGGTGGGCAGTGTCTATATAACACAAAATACGCACTCCAAATGATATTAAATTAGCACGTCAACAAAAGTTATGTAAGCTTATATAAGTTGTACAAAAGGTAAAGAACAAAAGAAAGGTTACGTTAAAAACTTTTAGTTCATTGTTTTCCTTCTTTAACGTCTGTATGTTGTCTTTAACCATACTATTTCGTTTGAACTTTAAGTACTCTTGCGGAGCTCAGAACTGCATTACCAGCACGGACCAGCCTTCACACTCTTCAAGCTTAAAACAAGTTCCAGATTTACCCTACTGAAATACAACTTACTCCTCTGATTTGGAATCTTCAGAGGTATTCTCACTGGCTGTAGCTTCTCCTTCAGTCTGAGTTGGTGATGATGGTGTTTCCACTTCCCTTTGAGGAACTGCACAAAGAACTCCTTCTTCGTTAACATAAAAACCACTTTCCCCAGGGTCAGCAAAGGTGGAAATAAAAGGTCCAAGACTTTGATAAGCAGCCATTTGAACCTAAAAGAAACATTCCATCAACACTGATAATAACAATCATTTTATTTCCCATGAGGGGTATGTTTATGAATTCTCAGATCTCGAGAACCTTTGAAACCTTCTCAAAAATGGAAAAGCTAACATTTGGGTCCTTTCTGGGGTAAAATTTCAGAGATCTACAGGGTACAGTGTACTTTCCTTAAGTTTGCCATGATTGTTCTTCAAAAAATTTGTATTCACCTTAAAACCTAACACACACATCAATCAATGTGAACAGCAAACTTCATGGGCATTTGAAGAAACAATCTACAAATTGGAGGACTCAGCATTACACTTAACTTGAACCTTCACTTAGTCATATTGGCAACTGCCCAACTAAACTAACAAAATCAGTTTTCCCAGTAGTTAAAGGACAGTTGGAATCTCTTGTAAGAGATCATTTTCTGTTAGCTGGTCATTTTTAATTTTTTAGATGGTCAGTTAGGGGTGATTCACTTACAAAGCCTGTACTAATGTTTCTCAACTGACACACATTTTGCATAGGTTAACATACCCAACAAAGCCTGTACCAATGTTTCTCAACTAAAACAAGTTTTGCATAGATTAACATACCCATCTTGACTTATCACATAGCAAGCCGATGAAGAACTGTGATAATTCATTCTTTCTCATCATAGCAGGACTAGCAGTTGACACACTCATGTAACTCTCTGCGCAAGCCTGTAATAATAAAGAAATAATATACACAAAAGAAAAGATGAATTCAGTTGACTCAAGGCTCATTTAAATACAGTTGAAGCTCTCGTAAGCAATCACCTCGGAAATTCGAAAAAGTGATTGTAACTAGAGCTGGTTACTTACAAGAATGGGCTCGCGTAAGTGACCGCATTGTAAAACAATAGAGAGTGGTCATTTACGAGAGCTTCAGAAATTCATTAATAATTCATAAAGAAAAAAAACAAAAGAAACTAATGTTTCTCACACACCACTAGTAGCCATGGAAAGCCAACCACCGCAGCTTTACTTTTATTCCAAATTCATAAAAATGTACACATAACATATCCCTTGAAAGGTGAGAAACTAACAAAGTATCCGACTATAATTATTTATCATAATTTTATAATCACAGTAGGACCACAGTTATTAAAGGGACAGTGTCACGATTATGCGCACGCGCGAGTGTCATCTGTTTTTTCTTCAAAAGACAATAGAACTGTCAAATTGACTCGACAAGTTTTCCTTCCGGACCGCACCGCCGACAGAGATTTGTTGTTTATATTCTCAAGTAATATTTTAGACTTTCGAAGAAGTCTTTCGTCTTATATAAAAATTTGGCTCGCGGTTCGAAGACTCATCGCGATTTTATCGCTAGCTGGGCCGCCTCGCGACCCGAAAATCTCGTTCCGCTCGCTTTAAAAACATATTTTCTAATTTGAAACTCGTGTCAGAGGTCAATCGCTCCAAGTCCAGTAATATCTGCCTGATTTGCTCGCGTTCTAGCCTCAAACGTTTGAAAGACATAAATAAAAATGCAATCTCAACGCTATGAATCATCACAAAGGTTAGTCAAAAATGATATTATGATTTCATGTCACTAGTTTTTCAAAACATGTAGCGCCTGTTTGTTTGATTTTGTCGGCCGTAGGGAGATTCATTTAAAAGTTTACTAACGCGTCGTTGCAAAACATTCTGCTTCACGAAGCTCCCCTCCACAAGATCTCCTCAGTCACATCAATGTCTCAACGGTTTCTTTCTTACAGTCTTTATTGTTGCTGTTTCATTTCTGCGTATTCCTTTCACAATTATCTGAGCTTGTATGGAAGCTAGCAGAAGAAATAAGCCTTCAATCGGCATCAAAGTGCTTCCAATCTTTTGGTCCTCCGGCCAACGGCAATAAAAGTAACGCCAAAAAATCCAGATTTTGCCCAAATAGAAACTTAACAGGAACAATATATCATTGATCTGTAATCCTGAGAAGTTTTAGTGTTGTATTGAACCCGGCCAATCGCGATGCAAACGGATTTTTCAAGATTCTCTTACTCTCCTCACATCTTTTGATTTCGCGACATCCTGTCCAAAAATCAAAGTTTGGTGCATGCGCAGTAACGGGATACTGTTCCTTTAAGATTTATTTTTATCAACTCTAAGTTTATATTCTAGGGAGAATTTAGTTATTGATCCAACTTATAACTTTCTATACAGAGTAAAGTTATGGATACAAATTAAACACAACAGAACTGGAACATCTTTAAACCAAAAAATCAATAAAACTTTTTAACTTAATGGGACACTCACCTTTCTTACACCCCAAACGCCATCTTGACATAGCTTGAAAAATACGGGCAACTTTTTGCAATAAAAAGGTAAAATAGAAACCAAATAACAATAATATTTAACAATTATTGGACGAGGTTGAGCAAAATATTGGGATTTGTCAGTGGTGAGCAGATCAATTATTTGCCGAAGCCGAAGGCAAATGATTGATCTGACAAATCACAATAATTTATTCTGCATTAACCAAGTTCAATAACAATTATTAATAATAAACAGTCACCAAGTTCGTTTTTTGATAAATTTCTTTGGGAAGCTGCCATTTTCAGGCAAGAGCGATCTCAAGAAGGAGGAAAACGTGCTTTCATTTACGCATGAGCAGAATATTCTTTGCAGCCAAACACAGTTGGATGACATTGTGCATGAGCAGACCATTATTTGTAGGCAGTTATCTGCAGGTCACATGGTGGGCTCTCGGCCAGTGAAAAGGAAGAACAATTTGCATCGTACGCTAATAATAACTATTTTGAATGCACATAAGCAGGGTTTGAGCCAGGCCGCGTCATTGTGCCAATCCCGCCCTGCAATTAGAATTGTCCCTTTAAAAAATGGCCAAGGGGACAATTTGTCCCCTTCAAAATTTAGGAAAAAAACTCGGAAAGGAAGCACACACGAAAAGATTTATTTCAGTACAGAAATTGCAAGCTGAAACAGAACGTGGAAAGTATATTTTATCGTACGTTTAAAGTTCATTCTAAAGTTACGTTTCAGTCACGCTCTACTGCTATTTTTGTCGGAAATCTAAGACAGGGCTTCTGATATTTTGCGCGGTCGCGGAGCCGCGAAATTCCAAAAAACACGAAAAATACCGCGAAATTCAGTAGAAATCTTATCAAATACATGTCTGTACAACATAATTGAAACTTATTTCAGCTATACGGGCTATTTACTTGCCGTAAACTTGCAAAAGTATCTTGGAACTCCGTCACTGAAACGTGCAAACAGATTATGTTGTCAAAAACTGGGCACTAGCCATGATGTTAAAGGCTTTGCCATTGGTTCATTTCTGGAGCGTTTTGTTGTTAAAAAGGGCAAATGATGACCTCTGTTAGAAAAACGTTAAAAAGGCTGGTCTGATCAGTGCAAAACCGATCGATTTCTAGCGAAATTTGCCTTGAAAATAACCACAAAATTGGCTGTTTTTTACGGAATGCTTTTCGGTGAAGTTTGCCCCGAAAACTCCCGCGAAATCGGCCGATTTTTCCACGAATTTGTCCCTAAAAATCCCGCAAAATTTGCCTTTTTCTTCCGAGACCTATCAGAAGCCCTGCTAAGACGACAAACCCTTTGCATCAGCAAAGGGTGTACAAATTTCTGTCCCCCTAAAAATGAAAATGTCCCCTAAAATTTTAGCCAAGGGGACAAATTGTCCCCCAGTGATCAAATCCTAGCTCAAACCCTGCATAAGAGTGTCTTGTAAACTTTAGTTGGGCACATAAGTATATAACATAATTTTTGGTAGAAATTATTATAATACTTATAGGTTCTTTTGACCAAACATTTGAAATCTTCCTGCTTCAATAAAAATATAATTTCATATAATTCATATGCATGGAATTTGAAGAAACCTACCATTCGATCACTTGTTACTTCCGGTCCCAGCACACTACACATCTCACCAAAGTTTGATGCACAGACCTAATTAAAATGGTACATTTATTACAATAAGTTTCGTGAGGGAATGATATTTTTATATTGTGTATAGCAGATTAAATGTAACAAAGCCAGAATCTGAAAGTATTTCTGATTGTTCTAACACAATTTGTCTAACACAGTTCTTTCCTATTTACAGGTCTGAAGACTAGTTTTGACGCCCTACGGCAAATGAGAGGTGACTGATTCCCTAGTTAATATACTCTTTCTTGCATAAGTTTTGCTTTCTAGTTTTTGTGGCCAGTAATAATATTAAAATGAAACTTCAGCTGCTATTACTCCATCAAAGAAATATTAATAAGCTTGTGCTAGTTTTTCAGAGAAAAAATGATTGAAAATATATTAGCTACTGTTTTGAATTCCCTGAGTCAAAAATATTCGGGTAAGCAGATGTTTTTCACACCTTTAAGACAGATTGACCAGATGTTAATTTCATTAAAGTGGGCGGAGGTGTGGGCAGCAAGTGTTAACCCTATTTTTGTAGCACAAAGTACCAGGAGTATTGCTACTCTACCCCCTGCACCCCCTGGAGGGATGCTAGTCTACCACAGGGTGACCTCCAACAGTGTGTCGCCAGCACCCATTTATAAACCTGGGTGAAGAGTGACAAAGTGGAGCAAATTTCTTGCCTATGGAAACAATGGGACAGTATGGCTTGAATTCTGACCTCAAGATCTTAATTTCCCAGTGTTATGAACTTGGCGGCTAAACCTCGCAAATTTCATTCAATACCAACATAATTATTATTTGCCCTCACCTTTCTGACATGAAAAAGAGGATCCGAGCAGAGAACCTCAAATCTAGGTAAAAAGTAGCGCTCTGCAATGTCTCTTCCAACAAGTGGAGCCATCTTACTCATCAACTAAAGAAAGAAGAAACATTTCAGGAGTTAAAGGTTCAGAACAAAGACATTTTGGACTACCTTTTTAAGTGATGCCTTGAATAAACAGCCAAGGGACGTTTGATAAACCACTAGATTCTAAGTACAATTTTCATCTTTTTTATTCTTATGAATCAAAGGGAGAGTTTGATATTAGAACAGGAGTCCATTACAGCCTTATTCAATCCATCATTAGTGATAAAAAGCGGATGGGTCTTGCACCTATGTACTTAACTTGTTAACCCTGTAACTCCCGAGAGTGATCAAAGTCAGTTTTCTCCTGTTAATATCAATACATAATCAGGAGAAAATGTTGTGAGAATTATTAAAGTAATCATCTCATGGAAATGCTTTGATCTTCAAACAAATTCTCTCAACTAATTCTTAAAGGAAATGTGTGGAGATCAGTTTGGAGAATTTGTATGTGGATATTGGGGCATAAAGGGGTTAAGGTAAAACACATGCATTCATGGCTCGATCATTGTCAAAAACTTACAGCAACTGCTTCAGATCTGTAATCATCATTGCTTTCCCCTGCTGTGAGCTGCAGTAAAACAGGGCATACTTGTTCTTCAACATCCTCTGTAAAAAAAAAAACAGATAAAAGTACAATGTGTGTGAAAAAAGTCAAAATTCCAGAAAAACTCTGGGCGTGTCTTGTAGATGAATACTTAGAACTTTTTCTGAGAAAAATTGTCTCTAAAACACAATTTTTGACTACAACAAGTTGTCATTGTCAAGTGTGAAATGAAAAAACCAGTGTTCTCATTCTTTATATGAAATGCACATGCAAATACAATCTTCAACGTAAAAAAATAAATAATAATAAGAAAAACAATACCATAGAGCACTGAGAAAAGCTCAGAAATTAATAAATACTTTTGCACAAATTGAGTGATTTGTGTATTAATAATTTACTTTTCAAGCTTCTTCATGCTTATACAGTCAAATCTTGCTTTGTGAACACCCTGCTATAACAGACAACCCGATAATAAAGACAGCAGCTAAATCCAGGGCTGTCATTTAGAGGCGGGGGCCAGTCATTTCCCTAGGCTACTACGAACATGGCCCCCGGAAACTTTGATAGAAAAATAGAAGAAAAATAGAACCAAAAAATATGATCCCTAGATGTTTTATTCCCCGCCTACTTGTTGTACATGTATTTACCCGATAACTTGAAATCTTAGTGACATCCCTGTAAATCCCATGTAAAAATAAAATACAAATGTTTGACTGCAATAAACTCCAGCTGTTACGGACTCTCCAGGGCTGTCATTAAGAGCTGGGGGCCGGTGATTTTCCCCCATGTTACCATGGATGTGGCCCCCAGCTACTTTCAAAGAAAAATATAAGAAAAATAGAACCAAATAATATCCCCAGCTAATTTAGTCCCCGCCTACTTGCTGTATTTACCCAGCACCTTGATATCTTAGTGACATCTCTGTAAATCCCAGGCAAAAATGAAAGACATTTGACTGCATTAAACTGCAGCTGTTACAGACTCTCACCAATGAGGACACTAATGCGAGGTCCTTAAAATTTCCCCTATAGAGGGAGTTGACTCTAAAACAGTGTTTCATACAACAGGGGTCAGGGTCAGGTTTCCCTCAGTGACACTTACTTGATATGAAAATTGTTGTGTTTGCTCATAGTGGCCTAATTGTCATCATAACAAAGAATGCTTTAATAAAGTCTTAAAAATAGCCCTGCAAACAGCACTTCCAGGGCTATTTGTACATGTTTACAAACTAATGTAAAACTTCTAGGTCACCTCTTTCCACAACTTCTTGTTCTAAAAGAACTAAAAGTGCTGCCTGGCTGGTTTTGCGCACCTAGGTAATAAAGACAGACACTTTAGAAAAATATTCTATAGCAATCAATTTTCACAGTAATTTAATATACAAATGGGCAATTTTTTTCTGTTTTGTACAAAAACATTTTGGGCTACATAACGACAGGCTTTTTTTTACTGGCAAATACTAATAATGAGGGTATTCACAAGTTGCATCAAACATTTTAATGCGATCAAAATTACTGTCATAATAGTTCTTATTCTGAAGGCTGGTATTGCCAGCAACAGAGGCTGAAGTCATGACAGAGCTTATAGCTAGTTAAAATCCAACAGGAGATTTGTGATCAAGGTCATTAGCTCAATAGCACTAGAGTTGAGAGACTCAGAATGTTCCCATTCATTTTTCTGCTCACAAATCTGCTTCCTACAATCTATTGAACACCAGATCATTAGAGTCACAGGCAGAAGTGTAACGACAAACCAATCACAATGCTTGTTCCTATGCACTGTGATTTGTTTACCTCTAGGCTGCAAACACAGCCAATTCTCCTCGCTCCTTTCCACTTGGGATGTTTTGCAGGAGAGACTTCTGCGATTCAGGCCCAAAAATAGTAAATTCATGGTGTTTATACTTGATCATTGCAACCTTTTGTCTTTCATTTGTAAATGATAGCTAAAAGAACAGAATTACTATGTCAACCAATCTGTGCTCGTTGACCAGATTCAAAAGTAATCTACATCACCAGTAAGAAATTTTTGAAGCCAAATACTCTCCCCCCAACACGTCTCTAGACTTCCACTTGCAAGAGTTGCGAGAACCAGGCTTAATGGGTGGGACAAAAACTACTGCATTGAGACCTTAGTAAACTTTGAGCGATAAAACAGGGGTATAACACTTATAATAATTTAATGCAACAATGAACTCTGGACAACACACCTAACTACAGTACCTGATTGTTGGAGTCAGTCAAAAATCGCAACACAATGAACAGGATGTACTGCGGTACTGCCTCCATCATGGAATAATGCTCATAGCAGTAAACTGCTACATGTGGAACCTGTTCCATAAGCTCAACCCTTACAGATGGCTCTAAAAGCAATCCAAAGAAAAGCAAATCATAAATAGTTTTTACCATCAGCAGCATCCTATTTACCAGTCCTTCAAATGACATGACAGTTGTTTGACAGTGGAGTCTGTACTCAAAAGATACAATATCACAATTCAAACTGAAAACTTTTTGGCAATACAGTCACATAAATTGTTATGAAAATTATTTCTGAGACTCTTTTACGTCTTATCCTGTACAGCGCTTTTAATGAGCACTAGTGTCCGCTACTTCACTCAGATTGGTTGGTTACTTTTTTCTGTAAATAGAAATAATTAAACAAAAATTCATTCAAAGCTTATCGATATCCTCAGTTATGCATCAGTCAATAGAAACCCTGTCCCCTTTCAAGGGTTTTGAAGAATTATTCGCATGTGCAAAATTGATGTTGGAAAAATGCAATCAAAATTGACTAATTGCACAGTATCTTGTTTACAAATTTCAATGAATGTACCGTAATAATCCATGCAATCAGAATGGCTATATTATGTTAATCAGAAGGAGCAAGAAAGGACTACAGATGAAGATTTTCCCACACTTTTCTATTTCTATTGGTTGGTTATTTGAACAAAGTTGAAACCTGAGCAAAAAAAAATTGGCCCCAGCGATTTGTTCTTACGTGGTGCATTTTAAGTTGAAAAATGGGTTTTTCAGCCTGGGCTGTAAGCCTTTATCATATGATCAACAGGCCAGCAAAAAATGTTTAAATGTCAGGATTGGTAAAATTGAAAAAGGTTCTAGAATGCTGTTTTGACAAACACTGTTTGAACTCTGTTTTAATAACTAGCCCTGAGTGTTTTTTACCTTGAATGATTTCATATACAAAACTTCAACCATTTGTATAACTACAGCCGACAATTTTCTTCAATTATCTTTTCCTGGTTTCTTGCCCTACTCAAAGGTTTCTAACAAACTTGCATTTTCATTATTAAAACTACAGCGTGCAAAGAGAGTAGTGTTCCATGGCCCGGGGCTAGTGGATTTTGCTATCCGGCTAGTGAATTCTGTTTTTAACTTGCCCGATGGGCTAGTGATGTTTTTTGAGGAATCTGAATAACAGAAGAACTTTGAAATCAATTCTGCTAGCCAAAAAGGTTTTGGGGCTAGTTGAAATGACATCTGGGCTAGTAAATGCTAGCTTCAGCTTGCCCAAATGGCAAGCTGTAAAAATGATTTTCTTTGCACCCTGAATTACCTTCAAAATGGAATCTAAATCACCTCAAAATTTGCCGACTGAATGTACACTTAAATGATCAAGAAATTTTCATTACTTTCTAACAATCTATCTGCAACACAAAACTTTTTAAACAAATAAAGCTAACAACTTACAATACTAAATATATGCTAGACAGTATGCAACATGAAAAAATAAACAAAATAAATAACAACTCAAGGTCAATTTTCACAAACTAAAAAGAGAAGTTGTAAAAACTAATAAAATTTAATTTCCTGGAAACTCCATTTTAACTACTACACTGCCTAATAATTGCAATTGCCTAATTTTACCTAAAACCAATACAAAGACAATAAAATGAAAAAAAGATAGAAGTCAGGGAGTCTGCCCAAAATAATATTTACTAACCAAATTAATTCAAAAACACTTTTTTACTTTAAGCTTAATCAATTTTGTTCATTAGTATTGTCAAATTAGACATTAAAGCATCAAACATGCACAACGTTAGTTTGCAAATTTTCAGCCATTAATTTAACATTTTATGACAACCTGCAGTTTTTTACTTTAAATCAACAGTACACTTAAAAGTTAGTACAGTGAATTTTCTCAGCAAGAGATGTAAACATTGCTGAAAATAGAAAATTCACAGTCTATTCTATAAAATTCTATAAAAGCTAAAAATGTTTCAAACGACGGCAATCTATAGCTGATCTTAACTACCTCAAAAATTAATTACATTAAGCTTATATAGGCTATCTAGGCACCAACCAACAGCTAGGGCAGCCATTTTAGTGCACTTTTATTTTCTTGATCGTCTTAAAAAGAGAAGAATGCATTTTGCCAAAGTCGTATTAGGTCCCAGGACAAAATAAAATGCCTTCCCGAACCACAAAGAGCATAAATTTTTGCGAGGACGCAAGAAAATTAACCATGTAAGCGAAGCACAGTTTCATCCCACGGTCGACGTCGGGCTCAAAGGTCTATTAAGAACGGTCGTAAAATAGAAACTACGCTTAAACTACACGAAAGTGAATATATCGACTTTTTACGAAGTTGAACTTGATAGTCAACAACAATTTACAAACATAAATTTCTAGACACTTGATATATACGAATATTGGGTTTAATGATTACGCAAAACTAGAGCACATAACACTCACCAATGTCGTCGGACAGGCGAACCATGAGTCTTAAAACATGATAAACTTCTTCCTTAGTTTTACTAGCTCTCAAAGCGTCCTGACAACACCTTGCCGCCATTTGTCTACAAAATCAATTGCAGGTCATGCTCTTGATTAAAGCTGAACATATCAACAAGAAATGCAAGGAACGCTGAGGACAGGAAGAAAGGACAGTTTGATCACACGTGCATTCGTAGGAGAAATGATACGACGAAGCATCTTACCTATTTACAATGATGTCGCTCAGCATAAAACGCTCCATTCTGATTATTGGACTAAGAGGTTCCTCTGCAGAGGCATAACTTTGCAGAGATGACTCTTCTTGATCCATCTCGTACCCTTCTGTAAAATGCAAATCAAGATATTGGGTAATACGGTAACATTTACTGCTTTCCGCTTTTTAAACTCTCCCAGCGGCTAATCGTGGGGCGCTACTGCAAAGAAACATACCGTCATCTTGGTCCTCCTCTTCTGGACCGTCAGTGCTTTCTATATGGAATCGTATATCTGAAAAGAAACTAAGAATAAGTAATGAAACGCGACGAATACCTCATCGGAATTCATCACCTACCCGCCATCTTGGAAGCGGCCACCAAACATGGCTCCAACCACGTGACCAACAAACCTGAACCAGCCCACTCGCCCGGTAAAATTCTCTCTGGGTTATCGTCCAGTCGCTCTCAAACCACTCAAACTCAATTAACTAATTTAACGCCAGACATAAGCCCGGGGCATAAGCAGCTACGTCTCTCGGTGTTGTTGTTGTTGTTGTTTTTTTTTGCAAATAGTCCATGCGCGAGAATTTAAGAATAGGAGTACCCCACGAAGGTGAGCAAAAAATTCCGTGCGAAAGGCGACTGCCGGGGGCTTTTGGTCGCTGTTGCTTAATACGTGGAGGTTTTAACAGCTGTGTAGGGCTTTCCGTGGAAAAGTTTGCTTGTTTGTCTTGGATGGTCAGTCGCTTACGTCGAGAAGTGGTCACACTAGGCTCCTGGTAGCACGTGGATGTTCGGCTGTGCTAAATAAATTTTTTCGAATAGGCCATCCTCTTTTTTTTCTCCGTTTACCGTCGTCCGACCGACCCAAATTTTGAAAAAAAATAAAGTAACGACGTAGTTACACCATTTTTCACTTGAAATAATTCTTTTAATCTGAAAAATGAGCATAGTAACAGCATAGAGAAAAACAGGAACAAAAACATGAAGAATTTTCACAGTATATTGTACATTTTGTTAATCCAAATATGTGAATGTTAACTTTTAACATCGTCCTGGGGTACCGTGGCCTACTATTCCGAGACTTCTTGTGATTTTTTTTTTAAGTTTTTTTTTCAATCCGACCGACCGACCCAATATCAGGAAACGCATTCGACGGTAAACGAAGAAAAAAAGGGGTATGGCCATATATATATTTTTTACCAAGAACGAGAAGTCCAAAGACTACTGCAAAGCTGATTTAAAACAACGTGTATTGTTTTTTATAATAATATTTCGGCTGGCCATACCAGCCCTCTTCAGGTTTACAGATGTTACTGGTAATCGGCTCCTGTTTAAGTGAATTCCATTTTTTACGACGTTTTGAAGCTTAAAAAAGCTAGTAAATTCGAGAAGTATTTTGATCAGCACTCAGGCTATGTAGCTTGTTTTTAAAAGCTCCTGTTAGTACTAAGCCCCTTCACGAAGTTGTAAAAGCCTAGGGTTTGAATTTGCCTCGACAGCTTTAACAGCAACTTGAACGCTGCCATTCCACAAGTTTTACCCCTAGAACCACCGTTCAGTTTTTGCAGGGAGCTGATCCTCCTCCTGGTTTAGAGGGGGGAGGGGCAAGGGATGTTGTTCGTATGATGATGCTCCATTTCCAAGTGTACAATTTCTGTCATTGTCACACGTTAATCTCGAGATTAGACTACGAGTAGTCCCCCATTTTTCTTCAGGAATGGTAGAGCGAGCGAAACGCGAGCGCGCGTGAAAATCACCCTACCCAAGAAAAGAGGCAACACGCGGCGGGGAGAGTCACTGCCGCGTCTCGCCTTTCTCGCGTGGGTTCATTTTCACACGCGCTCGCGTTTCGCTCGCTCTACTATCCCTGAGGAAAAAAGGGGACTACTCGTGGTCTACCTCGAGATAGAAACCGAGAGCAAGCAGGTTAATGATCAAATCCTTGGCCGCAATCTTTTCGTCCGCCCATGCTGTTCCAAGCGTTCAGATTGTGGGGACTGGCACAAAGAGATCTTCTCGCCAGACTCCACGAACTGAACGCCTGGACAGGAACCGTATCCTGGCCTGGGTTAACAGCCTAATCGTTCGCGTTGGTAGTTTAGGGATAAAATCCAGTTAATACCGTCATCAATGAAAAAGAGTTATTCGGCAACTTATCGAGAAACTAAGAACACAGACGTAATCAAAATACCCGATTTTAATTTATTGCTTTCAATCTCCTTACAAACTTCATTGGAATTTTGAGTACAATTTCATAATTTAAAATACAGTGGAACCCGGTTACTACGGACACCAACGGGACATGCCACGTGTCCGTATTAAGCGGGCTCTTAGAAAAGAGTCAGGGACACATGTTTCATCGACATGAATACGAAGGAACAACGAATGACTGAAGCACAAAGCCAAGGAAGTGAAACTTGTATAATGAAGGTAGAAAACTTCATGAAATAGCCTGTTCCAGGCTAGCCTACGTGTACCCGCACCCTCCCCTCCGTTTTTCCTTTGTCGGGGGGCGGGTGCGGCTACACGTAGGCTAGTTCCAGGCTCTCAGATAGTGGGGAAGACGCGAAAGTAAAAGGCCCGCGAAAAGTTGTTGGGGCGGGAAAAAGGAAAAAGGAAGGGACAGAGAGCCTTCTCGCCCCTGCTCTCCCCAGTTTCTTTTCGTTTTAGTTTCGTGTTCGGGCTCGCTCAATTCAGCGTACCATCTCGGAGCCTTGAACAGGCTATTCATGAAAGGGCCGTCGAAAGGGCCACAGTAGTAGGGTCAGATGGACTGAGAAATAAAATGAAATGTTGACAATGAAAATAGACAGTGTGCAGATACCCAGTGTCCGTAAAGCGGACTTGACTATGTATGAGAGACTGTGACTCGGTACACAGAAAAGTGTCCAATGTCCGTAATAAGCGAGTTAATTAGCCACAATACAACCAACTACAACCTTGCTGGAATAATCTTCTGTTGTAATCAAAAGTTTTTCAATTTTGAAAAATGAAAAAACTGTTGTCGTGTTTGTTTCGAAGGAAAAGAAAATAGCCGTTTTTCAGTTTCCTATCCGGGGCCTATTTTTCTTGGGGACACGACGTCTCTTGAAGCTTCAGCGGTGACACTAGGCAAGTTGTTCTTTTGAAAGCTATGTATTTCTTATTAACCCTTTCACTGCCAGAGTGTTTGAGAGGGTTTTGTAAGGTGACTCTAACTTTTGAGTCTATGGACAAAATCCTATGATGTGACCATTCAAATGAAAGCTCTCTGCCTGGACTTTCACATTATGCCATTTTTTTTAAAAAAAAATCAAATTTGGAACTTTGGTCGAAATTTGCCTTTGGCCACATTTGGTAGTGAAAGGGTTAACAGAGCAAAGACTTTTCAAGGCCATTAGGCTAATTTTTAAGCGCTTTTCTCGTGGCTTAAACTGTAAAACCAGAGAAAAAATCAACACTGCCCTTCACAGCCAAGGGCATGGTTCACCACCTAACAACTTTCTTAGAATAACTGAGACACATGGATGAACACGTAAAAGATGAACGTTGAATATTGAACATTGCTCTTCTAAACGGACATTTGCCAGAAAAAAGAAAGAAACATCTTAAATTTCAAGTACTATTCAAAACGTCACTTAAAAGCAAGTATTAGTCTTAACTACTCAAGTACGATTTAAGGAATTTTGAAGGTGGCTGAAATTTGAGCGTTTTTTACGTCTCTACGAACAATGAACAACATAAACTTACAAAAATATATTCTTTTTAGCCACCAAGCGAGTTGCATTAATTCAAAGTACAACTATGCCAGTTTATTCTACCTAAATTTTAAACGGGATCGCAATAAGCCTCTTCCAATTTGCCTCAAACCTCTGTTTCAGAGCGAGGCTATAAGCGAAGCTATTGACTAATGAATTTTCATTGTCATGAAAAGAAAACTCGTTTTCACAAGAAAGGTTTTGGACGTGGCCTCGGTTTGAAAGTGATGGCTTTTGGAACTGGGAAATGAACTATTCATAATAAAAATTTTCTTCCTTAGAGGCTAGACTTTCTCAGTCTTGGTGTCCATTTTTCCAATATTTCAATTCCCTTCGTTTTGGTCACTGTCATGACCGCTGCATTGTAGCTTTCATCCTCAATCAACTGAATAACCCCGCTGGCAACTTCTTCTGGACTGTCAAGAAAGAAAAAAATTATCTGTAAACTGGAAATTTATGAAATTTTGTGGGTTCCGCCGTGTACCAGAGTTAAGAGCACCAGGCCAGTGTCATGGGAGGTGATGGGCTTTAATCTCATTGCCAACTCAGAGTTTCCGTTTCTCAGTACCATAATATTATGAAAGATCATTAGTAACTTGAGCAGTTGTGAAAAAAAAGCCTGGAAAAAATTAAGATTTTAACAGGATTCAAACCCGTGACGTCCGTCTGCCTGTCTGCGTGTTGGCTGTTTGCTTGTCTGCAAGTCTGCGTGTCTACATGCTTGTTTTTCTGCTATAAACTGCGGTCTGTGGCGACGTCCATGACTGCGCGTTTCCTTGTTTGCTTTCTGCGGTATGCAATTGTCTGCACATCTGATTCCCTACAGCTGTAGACGTGCAGACGACAGACAGCAGGGAAGCAGATCTGCTTCTCTTTGTCTGCTTGTCCACGGTCTGTTGTGCGCTTGTCTGCTTCTCTGCTGCCTGTATGTCTGCTGTCTGTTTGTCTGCTGCCTGTATCTCTGCTTTTTTGCTGTCTGATTGTCTGTTTCTCTACTGAAAGTGGTCTGCATATCTGCAGGTCTTTTCTCTCTGCTTGTTTGTCTGTCTGTCAGCTGTATGCATGTCTGCATGTTCACTGTCTGTATGTCTGTTGCCCGGGGGGAAACGCCCATATAAAAGGGATGCTCGTCGGAAAATTAAAATCAATCCTTAAGGGAAACCAAGGTGGGTGTGACTGAAGCTTTAACTGACCCCTAAAGGAGCTTTGTCACGGCATTTCTTTGTAAATTTCTTTATGCACAGCCCTAATCAATAACTGACATGAATGGGCCAATACAATGCCTTTCCACCCCTCTGAACAGCTGGTTCTCGTACAGTCTGTTTGTCTGCATTTCTGCTTTTCAGCTGTCTGTCTGTTTGTTTTCTGCACATCTGCATCTCTGCTGTCTGCACGTCTATATGTGCAATAATGACGCTGATCAATTATTGATCAACGTCATTGTCGAACAAAGATTTACCATTCCTGCGTTTTGTTTACCACTAATATAATTCACTAGCACTTTAAACCAACCGGTTTTCCCGTATAAATAGTCAACAACCACTGTATGAACTGTCTGCCAGGACAAAAACTAAGTGGTTGCAGTGAAGAGTTTATAGCCGCTCCATATAAGATAGTAGAATCTAGACATTCTGAAGAGATGGCCGTCAGTTAAAAGATTAGCCTGTGAACTATAGACCCTTTGAAGCTAGTCATTCACGTGGTACAAAACCATCATGCTTAAAGAGCAGGGAGGCACTAGCACAAGACCAATAAAAGAAATTACCACTTTAAATGATGGAAGTGAGCCTTTTGTTTGTCTTGTTTTAGGGCATCCCTTGCTCTCCAGCATGGCGGGTTTTTTTACTGTGTGAATGACTAGCAAACGGCCTTAACAGCTCCCTCTCACGGTCACCTGTTGATGTGACATTACTCAAGAGAGAGGTCTGCAATTTGGCCTCTCTTGCCAGATGTCTCTTGAGAGAGGCCAAGATATGAGGCGGCTGTATTCGTAGACTGTAAGAAGGTAAGACTATACCTTGTTACTTTTTTAATAAGACAAATTTAATGTGCCTTCGATCAACGCTATATTCTATTTTAAGCAACCTGTGAGCTCATAAGCTATATGAATCTGAGTTGACGTGTACCAGTGCACTGCCCTACCACATTTATTAGGGCTGGCTTTCACTTTAAAGTTTCTGTGGTTGCCTGTGACCTCACCTGATCAAACCAAGCTTGGAAATGATGTCTTTTTCTCTGTATGAAGATTCACTATCCAAAAATTGTAAATTCTTTGCCATCCCTGTATTTGTGAAGCCAGGGCAGATACAGTTTACTCTTACTCCTTCTGTTTCTTTGAGATCCTATCAAAGACGAATTATTACCCAAATTTAATACTAATAATATTTAATACTAATAATAATAACCATATATAGAGGATATTGCATGGCCGCGCGGAGATACGAAATTTCTCTTTGAGTGTTGAAAAATATTCTCCAAGCAACCATGTAATGTTCTATTTATTATATAAACACCAATGAAATGCCAAACCATTTTACTTAAATAGTTTTTTGGTCTGAAAGGTGTGGTTTATTATGAAGCCATAGCAATGGTGATATTTTCTCATGTGAGGATATCAAGTTTTCGCACGAAAGCTCAGTTGGTATTTGATTGGTGTTTAATAATAATTACAATTACCCTATATAAGGTGGGGAGACTAATTTAAGGTGATTTAAAAGCCTTACAGGATAGCAGCAGCTGTTTCAAAGGGTATGTTTTTTAGACATCCCATGCTGTTGTCCAGTGGTAGTGGAGGTATGAGTTGGGATACTAAGGGCCTATGTGGAATGACTTTAAAAAGTCGTTCCACCAATGAGCAGTTTCTTTTATAGGAAACAAAACAATGGTTGAAATTTCCGTAAAACACTCAAGAAATAAAACTGGCTGCAAAATGACTTGCAACTCCTGTTTTTTCGAGTTTAATCTGGATTAGCTGGATGGTGTTCCTAAACATGGAAATAAAGTTGCCTTTCAAACTTATCTGGAGTTTTGGACAGTTTTGGTTGTAAAGCAGCGTACCACCAATCTGTATATAGATTATGCGACTTTAAAAGCTAAGCCACATCAGAAATTACAAGTTGGGTAACACAAAAGTGGATTAGATGACATGCAAACATGAAATATCCTTTTTTACGGGGATTTGCAAGAAAAAGGCCCCTGCTTGATAAAATGGTGTCAGTCAGAAATCAATGACAAATGTCGTTCCATTTTATCTGTGTCTGTTACTTTTATGTATTTTTGTAGAGAAGAATGGACAAAATATTTTTGGGAAAAGTGTGCAATGGAAAATTGCTTTCAAGCTAACCCCCAAAAGTATGCAAACACTGCAAATTTGCTGTAAGACAGTTAACATAAATGTTGCCTGGTCTAAAAATAATATTATCATCCATAGTTTACTGACCTTACAGCTCTTTGAAAGTGCCATTATGCCAGATTTTGTGGCAGTGTACACAGCTTGCCAACTTCCCATCGGAAAAATAGCTGTGTTGGGGTAACAGACAAAAGGTAATAAATTATATAAATAAATCACCGGTAGGAACAAAAGTATAGGTACATAAATATGTAAAATGATTGTGACTAACAAATCCGCAAATGCTATTGAGCGCAGATCCAGATTTCATTTGGAATGAAGCTAAAACTGCAGCCCTAGCCTAAGCTCAAGATGTGAGTCATTGGAGATAATAATTATTGCAAAATAGCATTCATGGCAAAAATATAAGAGTTTGTATGCAGATGTTTACGATATACTTTAGAAAACATAAATACAATAGAATTCTCAAGAAAAATACCTTATACAATAAAAATACCATGGTTACTTGCCGTCTTTGCCCTTTCTTTCCTGATTGAAGGTGACTTTGACAAGTTTAAGCTCCGTCAGTTTCTCTCTCTAAGAAAAAGGACATGGCTGCACATTCCAGTTTGGAATGCTGATGCGAGAGGCGAAAGATCCTTGGCTTAAAATGTTCCAGCTGCCACAAATTCAATGCTGACACTAAGCCAATTGATGTATCCTGGTTTCATTTCATTTCATTTGTCATGAATGCTATTTTGCAATATTAGTATCTTATCACTGATTAGTTTGAGTTTGAGCTTGGGCTACATGTGGCTGAAAATTAGGATACTATGTACTTATGGGTCTATTATGATTTATTATTTAAAAATACAGCAGCGCGCACCTGCCAATGATGCTACATTGACTATAGCTCCTCCTGTTCCCCCATGTGACCATCCCATATGTTGAATTCCCAGTAACTGGCCACGAATCACACCTTTCTGAAGAATAAAATTTAGAAATTCAGAAATTCCCTGAAGAATTCTTTTTAAATCATCTTCAGTTATCAGTTTAATTTAGGAGATTAAAATCAACATGAAAGTGTGTGTACTGGCATCTAGAAGATGTAAATGGTATATAAGAGCTTAAATGAATCTGTAGCCTGCTTAGTAAATTTTCCTTTGTTCTAAAATTCCTGCAGTGCTTTCAACAAAAATTTTGGTTTAATTTTTATCCTAAATAAAGAGCATTATATGCTGTCTTGCTAACATTCGCCAGCAATAACTGAGGTACAGACAAAGGGTTTATATTATTACCAGATTGATATCCACTACTCTTTCCCAATCTGCCCCTTCACTTAAAGCACCTACACCAGCATTATTGCAAACAATGTTTATTTGTCCAAATGCTTCCTTTGTCTTCTTGAATGAATCTTTCCATGAAGCAAGAAAAAAGAAAAAAACATTGATCAATATCAAAATATCTGATTTTAGAGTAAACTTGTGGCAGGATTATGTTTACTAAGGCTTTCTATTTCTGGAAATTTCTAAAAAAAGATGTGACATTTACATCATTGTCTGCATAGAAGATACTCTACTTTAGTCAAGTACGATGTAAATAACCATGAAAGCACTTAATGTGATGACCTCCTCACTACTGGAGAAAGGACTACCACCAGTTTAATGGGGCCAAGATTTTATTGAGCCACACGCATGAAGGTATAGCCTCTTCCAGAGCAAATGATGACCCTCCTTTGTTTTCCCTGGATAATAGAAAACTAGTCCCTCATGGGATTGAACCCTTAACCTCCCACTCTGCAATCCAAAGCTTTTGTCAACTGAATGAGCCAAGAATGTGGCCAGATTTTATTGAGCCACCCACATGAAGGTATGTTCTCTTGTGATGACCCTCCTTTGTTTTCCCTAGACAATGGACAACTAGTCCCTCAAGGGACTGAACCCTTAACCTGCAATCCAAAGCTTTTGTCAACTGAATGAGCAAAACTGCAGCCTCAGTTCTATTGTAATGTACTGTATCAGACTTTCACATTTGTCATAGCTTAATAATTAAGCTATGGCAAATGTGAAAGTCTGATGCAGTACATTACAATAAGGTCTACACTTTGACTGAAAGTTGTAATAATTTGTGGTTTCATCATCTGAACAAGAACCCGTCAGCTCCAACTCACCTATTCTTAATATAAGTTTAAAGAAGTTTTAATAATCTCCTGCAAAATCAATTTTAAATCATGTCTTTTTATAGCAAAAAGATCCAACTTATTTCTCAGAATTTAAATCTGAAATGCTATTCACCTGTCATCTGTGATTCTGATGTAACATCACAGGTGATAAACTTTACTTCTCCTGTTCCATATTGCTTTTGCAGTCTGTCTTGTAGTTGTGTTCCTTTCTCTTGGTCTATATCAAATATTGCAACCTAAACATTTGATTATTCCAAAAAGAGTCACAAATCTCATAATTTGTTTCTACGGTTCATTAGTTCATTGTACTACATTTATCACTTTGTGGGTGGGTTGGATTTTTTGTATTCGTGTAGGAGAACACGGATTTATTATCGTTAATTTCATACCCAGTCCTCTCGTCAACAAATTAAAGCCAAAAGTGAGATCTGGTGAAATCAGATAAATTTGTGCACATATTTGTGTACATGCAGATCACCTGTAACGAATGTGACAAGTGATGTAAGAGCACATGCTTCAATCAAATTCTCTCAGCATGAGATCTGGGTACAAGATTGGGGGAAAGAACTCCAGTTCCACATGGGTAGGATGTTCAACATCTTGTTTAGGTAAAGGCAAAGTGATCTGTCCCAGCGCACATTTACACACCTCAAATAACGTTGAAGATTTGAAGATATTACAGTGATGCTGTTACCTCTTACTTTCTATAGGATGCAAAGGGTGACCAGTTTGTGTGATTTTAAATCTGTGACAAAACGACAGCAATATCGTCTGCCTATAAAATAGGTCATTAGGTCACCACCAGGTTAGTCTCCCTTGCAGCCGTTTTTTGGATGTCATTGCAACATTAACGTTCCATGACATCCAAAAAATGGCCGTGAGGGAGACTACCACAAGGTGGCTGGTGGTCATTTACCTCCTTGTTTTGCCAAAAGGAGGGAGTAAGCACAAAGAAGGGAGAATATTTTAGTGACATGTCTTAGTTTTTTGGGTTGTTGTTGGCATTGTTGATTTGTATTAATTATTAATATTTTTGTTCTAAGCTTACAGTTCAAGACCAGTAGTTCCTTTTGAATAGACTTGTCCCAGTGTTTTTTTAATTGTAGAGGAGGGAGCCCCCGGGAGGGGAGACTCCCATATAAAAGTGATGCTCGTCGTCTCTTTTAGGGGTGTAAATTGCAAATTTTGGTCTCACATAGGGTTGTTGGGAGGGAAAGTCAATATATTTGCCCATTCAGGTATCTTTTAGGACTACACATAAGGAAAGTTTCAAAAAATGTTGTTACATCTGTTTTAGCTTTGTCTCCTTTAGGCTCAAAAGCCACACCTACATTGGTCTCCCTTAGGGATTTAATTTTAATTTTCTGACAAGCATCCCTGTCACTTTCAGCCATAGATCCAGACCTTCAGATCAGGGGGGAGCCCGTTCATCCAGAACCTGAGATAAGGGGGGGTCCTAGTCTCAAAAAAATGTTTTTTCAGTCCTTTGGGCCTCAGTCTGGTATAAAAATAAGGGGGGCGGACCCCCCGGGCCCCTCCCCTGGATCCGCCATGGACTCCACCCCCCCCCGGGAGGGAACCTTCCCGTCGCAAACTTCAGCGGAGACAAAAATCCCGAGAAATATACAAGGCGGTTAGCGTCTATTGAAAACTTAAGCTTACACGCAATGTCGAAATAATTTCTTAGCCTCCTTGCGCTTGCATGACTCACAATTCAAGCACATATCTGCGCTGCTATCAGTTGTTTCACAATGTAAACAATTCTAAACAACAAGACCCTGCAGTGACGCTTACTTTACCACCTCTTGACAAGAGCGCTCTGCAAATATGCTTCCCGATTCCTTGTGCTCCTCCGGTAACAATGGCTACACTTCCTTGGATCTTCATACCTTAACTCAATTATGCATAGGCTTATTACATTACAGAAAAAGCTACGATTTCACTCTCTGTCCTCGCCGTAACACCGAACACCGAACACCGAACTTTTGTGACATTGACCGAGAAAAACTGAGAACTGATGAGCAGTCAGTCACAGGAATCCCAGGTTGGAGGAACCGGAAACGCAATTTCTCGAACCCTCTGTGTATTCTTACCAGTCTATGAAGAGAGCGAACGATTACAATAAACAGTTTTTGTTGTCGCTGTTGTTGTTTTATCTTTGGAAAAAATTCTGCTCCCATGTACATGGACGAAAGCAGACCTAAAAGAGAAATCATTCATTTTTCTTTTCTCTTCCTCCACAGAAGATGAACCGTGGAAAACGTTTTGGGTGAACGGTATAATTTCCTAAAATACAACGCTAATATTGTAGTAGGTAAGACATAGAAGGAAGCCTTCATTCTGTAATGATACGGGTTGGGGCTGAAGCTAACACTGCCTTATCTAAAGCGATATTATCATGACTAATTTTCGTGCGTACTTTTAAAATTTGTCGAAAATACGAGCCGAATTTCATGAGTATTTTTACCCCTATTGCAAGAAAAATGAGGGCAAAAGTGTACTAAACTTCGCCATTTTCACAGTGTTTCACTCCAGGGTTCTTAAGCCCTGAGCTGAAGGCACTTGTCGCATAACATTATCATATCAGGACCCTGACAAATCAAAAGCAAGATTGGTTAACTTATATAAGTATTATAATGTAGTAAGTGGTTTTGGCCGAATTACACTGAGCTATAGAAAGCAGTGAGTATGAAGCTTGACGTTTGAAGTCTTCGTGAAGTTTAGCTAAAAAAAGTTGAACACTGAATACGGGGAACCAAACTACTGCTGTTTAAATACTAGTTTTATTGCATTTGAAACTTAATTACAGACAAACAAATCACTTCGCTAGCGGCAAATAGATAATTTACAGTGGAAAATTAAGTTAAAATTCGGCTCTTCACTCAGTTGTATAAATATTACATGATGTTAACTTGGTCAGATTCAGCCGCTGGAAATCTGTTACTCGTTGAAAGACACAGGCTGTTCCTCTTCATCTTCTTTCATATCTTGCTTGCAGAACTCTCTTATTGACCGACACATGCTTCGCTTTTCCTTTAAAACCTAAAAAAATTAACAGATCTAGGATCAATTAAGAAGCCGAACTGCAGACTGCTGTTCTATTCACTCCGAAGCTAAAACTCGTTTAAAACTCCGTGTTTTAATAATTAAACAGGCTTTAAAACTAGAGAGCAAATTAACACTATGTATATATGTAATTGACGGGAAAGGATTTTCCCAAAGGATGTGAATGGCTTCTTCCAAAACTCATCTCCAGGGATTTCCCCATTTTCTGAGGAAAAAGTTCTGGGAATTACAGGTTGGCCTCTTTTTTCATCTGTCCCCTTTTCTCACCATGCATGAGTTTAAAAAGCTAGCTGGTTAGATCATTAAAAATAAAGATCGGAAAATAGTAATTTTGACATTCTTATAACTTTAAAACTTCCTAGTCTAGGCAACTGCGTAATGTAGAAATTCACCCCCAGCAAAACCTTCATGCAATCATCTATCATAGACGGAGTGAATTCTTTAGGGACAGACATACATCAGGGGCGTAACCAGCTTTCTGACTAGTTATAGGCCTGTCCGACTTTCATTTCCGCATATCCTGAAAATTGCACGCATTAATGACTAGTACGCACTGACCTCACCAACACTTTGAGCTCTTGAGCTTTTTAGCTCACCCCAACAACTCATAATTTATTATAAGCGGTAGAGTGATCATACCAAAAATTTATAGGCCTGGGCCTACAGGTCTATGGGCTGTTTATTGTACAGCAAGGCCGACCGATAGTTTCAACTATGTTATACAATAGGGGGTTAAGTAAATATACGTTTTAAATTTAACCCGAGTATAAAACGTCGACTCTCAGCCCTCCCGGGTGGGAGTTAACTATGTACCACTATACCATGACGAGGAAAATGCAAAACAATCCTTGTTCGATTGCCATACATATCAGTAGACTTCGTCTTTTCAGCCTTCTCCGCAAATGTCTAATTACTTGAAAGTGGTCTTCGAAGCAGGTACAGCGAAAAAAAAAGGATGATTTTGCGTAACAGCGGAAACTTGTAGTTATTTTGGCCACTGTGGCATTCTTTTAATAAAATTTGTTCCAAGGTCACCTTGGTTACGAAATTTTTATGCAGTATTCTAATTGGCAAATATCAGTGGCGTTTTTTAGAGGGTATTTCGACCGTCAGAGGTAACATTCTCAGTTAAGATTGCTGCGGAAGATTGTAATGTTAGTCGGACAATTAGTTTTCATGGGAAAAGTAACGAAAAAAGAGCGTGGTTTCGTATAATCAATAGAGTTAGATCACATTACTTTATTAAAATAAAACTGTGTCTTTTTGCCTAACAGATAATTTTTTTTAACATGACTAAAAAATGAAATGGATAAATTATCCCAATAGGGCTTTGAACTCAGTTGTACGATTTTCTTATGAGCACAGGCAGTTTGTTAGAACTTTTGCCAAGGGTCATGAAAAGTTTTGTTTAAACTCTCGGCTAGCCTTGGAAAGGTTAAAAACTTACTGCGGCAAGAGAAACACGTCGCTGAATTCATGATGTAGTTCAAAAGTCTGTCTTTTGTTATCATATCCCGAAAAAAAATGCAGAACTTCCCTAGTTTTCCGAAAACTAGCTAAAAGTCATGAATTCTGGATAGCCGGTCCCTGAGAACGTTTTGATATATATCTTATCCTTAACCCACTTATTTAAGTAAAGTTGGGGGTTGAACCTGAAAAAAAAACATGCCTTTTTCTTCGAATTTAATGATACTGAGTTTTGCACGGAAATGGTTGCATGTATGCCCTTCGAGTGCATAAAACATGTACAATTCTATTTACTAAGCTTAAATTGTTTCTTTATACTAGCTGAAGTCAACAAATGAGGCCGCATGAAGAATTAAAGCAAAAAAGGTACGCATTAAAAAAATGTCATCCATCAATCCATCTAACTACCGTTTTGAAATGAGTATTTTGCATTTTAAAATTGCGCTTTTTTCAATAAGTGTGTTTTAGCAACACCTTAAAGCTTTTGTTAAAATTTCAAAGAGCGTTCCATTTTTTCGACTTTCCCATTTACTTTTCACTGAATGTGGTTACTGTATTACTCTTCAAAGTATTAAAATACTAGCCCAGCTTACATCGAAAAATGTTCTCATTAAAACATTTAATTACTGCCCAATCTGTTTGACCTTAAGTTTTTCTATGGTCTCCTTAAAAGGTAGCAACAAAACAAGCAACAGCATTCAAACCTCAACGGCTCTTTTCCAGGATCCTCCGACGTGGAAAGCTTCTGTTGTTGGGAGATTTGCTACGGCAAAAACCAAAGCGAGAACAACGAAAAGTGCAAAACTCTTCTTCATGTCGTCCTGTATGAGATGTCTTACTGAAAACCCGCTTACAGTGTGAATTTGAAGGCACCCACACAATTTGTCGATCACTGAGTCCGTTGGTCGAATTCTGTTTTGGAAACCGCTTTTTATGCAAAACGAGAACAAAAGAAGTGTAAAGAACGCGCTCATATGAAGTCATTACTACAAATGAACTTGCAAGCAATAAAAATTTAACTCACTGGTGGCGGTAAACGAAATCTTTATAATCCTGAATGGTATCGTTAATGGAGCGGCGGGAACTAAAATCTGGAAAGGCATAACGTTATTACTTTTTTATTATTTCAGACGTGACGACAAAGTGAACACATAGACAAAGAGAAGTCATCAGGTCGGTTTCTGAAACCCAATGCATCTCATTTGCCCCAATCAAGGCCATTATGTTACCTGTCCGCGTATTTTATGGTTTTTACATTTTTATTAATGAAGCTTTCTTTTTTTCGGAAAATTGTTTATTGCCGGGTCGTAATTAAAATGTAGTTATTAATTGGTCGTGCAGCGTGTTAATAACCCGAGGGAGGCGAAAAAGGAGAATTTTCAAAAATACTAGGTGCGTCATTTAAGCATTGATTTCAGAAGGTTTTACACGTTTCAAAATAATCGCCACGAGGTGTTTTAAGCGAAAAGCCACGGATTAATTTTTTGAACTACGTTCTGAACATGGCTTTGTCGTTTCTAAAAAAGCAAGTTTGAATTTAACACGATGAGGACGACTGTTTTTTTTTTCTACAAATGCATTTGGCAGGACACCGACTTTTCTTTTTTAGCAGGTTTTCCGCCAACATCCGGTTCTATGTTTTTGGAGAAAATTTAGAAGTTTCCCTGAAATACAAAAAAAGTGGAGTTATCAGTTTAGAGTAGTAGGAACTTGGGATGATTGCAAATTATCCCCTTGAATTTCCCTTTTTTAATAATTAAGGGAAGATAATAAGGTACCCCAAACGCGTCGAACTTTTCAAGTGACGAACCAAACTTAGTATCTCAAGGTCATGAACAGTTCGACGTCTTGCTCAAATAAGTTCGTCTGAGTGAATGACTTAGAGGATTGTGATCCAGAGTACACTGGTGAAACAGCAAGGAAACTGGGCACTAGGCTAAATGAACACCGGAAATCAGTGCAAGCCTGCGATCTCAAGTCTGCTGTGTCTGAACACGCTAAGGACGCAGGGGCCCGTTTCTCGGAAGGCTCGGTAACTTTTCGGGCCCGAAGGCAAATTTGAAAATCAACATCTGTTGAATAATAGCACAGTTTCTAGCTCACAAATTGGTCAATTTTACTTCGTTAACTGATAGTTTCATTGTTTCATTTTCAAAATTACTAAAACTTTGATCATGCATGCAAACATAAAATAGCCTTTCGGGCCCGAAACGTTACCGGGAATTTCGAGAAGAAGGCCCCAGGCCACTCCTTAGACTGGGCCAGTGTAAAGATTATTGGCCAGGAAAATCACCTGATTTCACGCAAGATACGCGTTGCTTGTTTACGTTCTCCATAAAACGCGAAATTAGGTG